TTTGAGACTCTTGTACCAAAGGAAATGTATTGTCTGTAGCTGATTTCTTGGACGTTTTGCCAAACTAGATGATGCAAACAGACACAGGTACGATACCCAAAATTCAGCCCACTGACTGAGAGTTGTAAAGGCAGAAGTCATGGCTCAATGGTCCCCTTGTATCATGGTTACAGGGAGGTGAAAGAAAGAAAATGTTAACCGATGAACTTCTAAGAATTTTGCCAGTTTCACTCTCCTTATGAACCTCTCTTTAGGGATGTACCTTGTTCTCGGTGGCTCCTGGCTGGAAGGGAAGGTGACCTGAGGCAGAGAGTACATGAAAGCTGTCATTTTGTAAAGGTCATAGGAGATGCAATAAGACACAGAACTGAACAGTTGAGATGTAGTGAGGTCTAAGCATCGAAAGCAGAGTAGACCGTGGGAGTGGGGCCTCATTCTCTGAAGCATATCTGAGCTGCTTTAGTTGAGACGCAGACTCGAAAGCCCTGGATGAAAAGTTTGCTAGACAGAACCAGTGTCATGGCTTCTTGTACAAACACCTCAAGTATCATTCCTGGCAGCCAGTTGCTTTCACTCATATGGGAAAATAGCCCAGGAGTCCCTTCAAAGGAACCTTAAAGAGTCAGAGAAATAGTTACAGCGGGGAAAGGGCTCCCTTGTTTCCTGCCACACCCTTCTGCCCAGAAGCAAGCTGCTCCACACAACATCCATGGCCACAAGTGCAAAGAGGAAATAATGCGAAGTCCAGATTCCAGGGTGAGAGGCCAGGAGACCTAGAAGGGATATGATGTTCAATATATATTAAACATGGGATTTGAGAGATAATTAGCCCAAGAAAGCCAGCACCAAAAACAGGGATCTTGGCCAATGTGAGCAGCAGAACAAGAAGCCCATGTCCTCCCAGCCATATCACAGGGAAGCACAGGGATAAAACAAATATATGTACATAAATGTATATACATATTTGTTTTATCCCTGTGCTTCCAGGACTGACATATGGGAGAGAACTCTGGCATTCTTTTATTATTAATTTTTTACATTCCAATCCCAGTTACCCCTCCCTAGTCTCACTCCCCCCGACTTCCTTCTCCCATCTGCTCCTCTGAGGGTAAAGCCTTCCCTAAGAAGTCTACAAAGTCTGTCCCATCATCTCACTGAGGCCAGACCAAGGCGCCTCTCCACGCCCACACCCCTGTGTCTAGGCTGAACAAGGTATTTCTCCACATAGAATGGGTTCCACTAAGTCAGTTTGTGCATTAGAGTTAGATCTTGGACCCACTGCCAGTGGCCTCATATATTGCCCCAGTCCCACCATTGTCACCTGTATTAATGGAGTCTAGTTTCGTTTCATGCAGATTCCCCATTTATCAGACCTGCCTCTGTGATCTCTCAGTAGCTCGGGTCAGCTGTTTCTATGGGTTTCCCCATTATGGTCTTGACCCCTTGTTCATATTATCTCTCGTCCCTCACTTCCATTGTACTCCAGGAGCTTTCTGGCACTCTTCATTGTAAATTAAATAAACCACCTTCAATGGTGATCTGAGCTCATGTGAAGCAGAGAAAACGATGTTTTGTCCAACTGACAATGGCACTGCTTCTCCAAGAAAGAGGTGGTACTACAGACTTCCAGTGAAATTGTTTGGCCTTTGGCTGACTCCCTTGAGCAATATAAAGAGGAGGGCAGTCCTTAAGTGTCTAGGTAGGAAGTGATTCCTAACTTGGAGAAAGGAATAGTCCTAAGAGATTCTATGAGAATTACCTGGGGGGAGGACCTTACTGTTCTCAATATAATTGCTACTCCACTTCCCTGATTCTCCTGTTTATTATAATCTATCTCCTGTTTATTATGTCTATCATACCTTTGCTCTATGTTGAGGAAAAACAGAGTTGGGCACTAGCATGATATAGTGAGGATTCTTATTATACTGTTCTGATAATAATCATTAAAACCAACAATGAAAATACTGTCACTTATTGACTACTTGTTATCTGGTTAGTATGCTGTTGAGCTCTTGACAAAACTGATTCTAATAAGCTACTAAAAAGTGCATATTCCCATTATCATCTTTACACAGAACAGAAAATGAAGCTCAGGTAAGAAATGTGCCCAAAGTCACATTAAAATAATAACATTAATATTGTCCCCTGCACCCCTGGCAGCTTTCCTCTAAATGTTATTTAAACAAACTTCAAAACCTCACCTAGATCAGATCACCTGCCTCTCCTGGCAGTTGTCCTCACTTAGTTGTCTTTGTCCAGCAACAGTTCACCTTAAGAGAACTTAGCCCTGCTATGTAATATTTTCACCCAGGCATCCAAATCAACGAAGACTTCACATAGAGAAATCCATCATTGATCAATCCTACTTCATTTGAGCTACAAGGAAGATCTGCTATGACTTTGGTGGCTTTCCTTCACATGACTTTTCATACACTAGATCTCTTATTTTAGGAGAGGTTTCTTTCTAATACTTCCCTGCTTCCTTCACATCCTAGCCTCCAAAACTAGGAAGCTCTACGTCTCCAGTCCCTGTTTTCTCAATAAAATCCACACACCCTCCCTTGATCTTAGCCAAGGGCACAGTTTATCCTGACTCCACCCTATGAATAGCCAAGATAAAAATCTTGTGATTACACATTTTTATCTCCTGCCAGAAAGCCTGTAGGCTCCGCCTTCACAGTGTGGAGTGACCAGGATGTCTCATGACTTCACAGCTATAGCTTTTGCCAAAAGTGCCCTTTTACTGGCTGTTCTGATATGACCAATAATTTACTGCCCCTCTATTGCAAGGCTCTCATGATTCTGGACTCTGTCTTTGCATTTCCCTCTCTGACCTTTGCTCCCACTGGCCCTAACGCCACTCCAGCCACTCTGTTGACAAGGCACATTCCTACAGTGGACCTTGGTCCTAAATGTTCCCTCTGTCTGGAACATCATTCCAAATAGCCACACAGAAAATCCCTCTTTCTGCGCATCTTTATCTATTGCCAAACCTTCGAGGCAACCTCTCATCTCATGCTATCATATGCTCATCTCCCCAGCCCTTGTCATCTCTTTTCTACCTCCACTGTCCTTACCACCTTTCACTGTACTCTGTAGTTTCATTCACTCACGACTCTGTTTAATTCACTACTTGTCTCCCGCATGAAAATAGGAATCCAACAGTGTCAATGCTTTTGGTTATTTTGTCCATTAAGAAGTCTCAAGGGAACAGCCTACAGGAGACATATGCAGGTGTCTAGTAAGTCCAGGAAGTGTCCAATTTGTTGAAACAAATGTCACCGAAGAGTTAATTTCTGAGCTCCTTGTCCCTGTCCTCTTGGTTTTCCACTTCGACACACAACACTTCTGATTAAACTAGACATTGCTGAAAGTTTAATTCGGGGTATGATATACTGGTCACATATTCATTCAGTGGATTAAGGACTACAGCAGACTAATTCATTAAAGGCACACAGAAAAAAATACAACACTTCCCCTCCCCCCAGGTTAACTATTACAATTTGATTAACTAAACAGAGATGATTAACTAAAACAGAGCCCCACAATGTTATCATCTAACTGCTGGAGGTGGCTGGCACCTACCAAGTCACAGCAAAGAATGTCATGTTATAAACTTGGGTTATTGTTTAAAACTTGTTCTTTCCATTCAAAGGAATCTCTGCCTAATACTGCCACCTACTGACAAGTTCGTGGGAATCAGGACAATGCAAAGCGTAAACCAGTTCTACAAACTTGAGAAAACAATTGACTTTTCCCAGAGATGATCAACAAGGAATTTATAGCAATTTCTGTAACTATGCTAAGTGAAGGTGGTTATCAGAATAACAAGGACCAGAAATATCTAGAAGGAATACTCCAGAGGGTGAGGTGGCAAAGCAGGAAAGTCAGAACAAGGAGATGAGAGCAGGAAGCCCCAGGGATGGGTATGCAGGGTGAGCATTCTTCTGTAATCACTGGCTCTCAGATTTCCCACCAGCAACTCATGTAAGTGTTAAAACGTTTGAGACTCAAAGCAAATGTGTTTGTTCTCACTTCACTGTCCTTTTCTCAACCAAACAGATGTACACTGAAAATTAAAACTTACTAGAAAGAAAAAAAAATCACAGTAAAAGCATTTGAGTTAATGTCAGGATATGTATCTGAGGCTCCACAATATGAAATTCTCTTCTGTAAGAATTTTATGTGTGTGTGTGTGTGTGTGTGTGTGTGTGTGTGTGTGTATGTATGTATGTATTATTTAAATGCACTGTTCAGTGCCAATGAATTTAGGCCATGAGTTCTAAGAATGACTCCGAATAAAAAGGCCTTTTCAGTTCCCCATCAAAACCTCAGAACTGAGCTGAGTGGTGGCAGCTCATGCCTTTAATCCCAGAATTCAGGGGGATCTCTGTGAGTTCAAAGCCAGCCTGGTCTACAGAGTGAGTTCTAGGACAGTCAAGGCTACACAGAGAAACCCCATCTCAAAAAAACAAACAGACAAAACAAAAACACAACAAGCAAACAAACAAAAACCCCTAGGAATTCTTTCGGCCTCCCTGGGTAGGCAGTCCGGTCTACTAAGAATCAGTTGACATGTGATCTAGAAACACTTCTTTAAATTACTATCCTGACTCCTGTCTTATTTTGTTGTTATGGGTCCCTGAATGTTTTGAGCATATAGTTTTTCTTTAGAGTTGTCCATTGTTTGCACCAAATCATTAGTAAAAAATTTTGCTACCTAGGAAATGAACATACTCCTATAATAAACAGCACAAAATGTGTTCTGAAAGCCCCAAAGGGTAGAAAATTATGCAAAGAAAAACAGAAGAAATATGAGGAAGAAAATAAGCTTGTCTCATATGTCTTTCAAACTTAAAAACTAGACAGGAACGTAGAACCACTAAAAGAGCAGATGAGGCTTAAGTACAATGAAAATAGACTGTTAATTAAAATAATTTAAAAAGACAAAAGGAGACCCATGAACACACTGGAATAAAAGTAATAATACCAAGTGAAGATTGTTTAGAAAAAGACTTTTAATTATAAAATTTCTTTAAATAAAAAAAGCAATGGCACAGATCACCATGGCGTTACTGAAGCATCTATCCACAGGCTGCTCAACATTTCGCTGTTTTCATTAACGGCACTTTCCTTCCTAATTAGAGTGGCATCAAGAGCTTCTGAGAATGTGTAGCTCCCCCTAAAGAATTAGGAACAGTGTCATCAAGACATTGGTGCCACATCTATACACACCACCTTTCATCAATGACGCTCTACGCTTATAAAACAGCGAACAATGCTCTTATTTCATTTCTCTTATTTACAGCAGAGGTCCATGTGTCACAGTGTGTCTGTGCACGAAAAGCCCTGGGAATAATACTTTCTGTAACATCTTAACAAGTTGACTCAGATTATTTAAAATATGAAAACAGGCAAAATTGTTGACATCAACAATCGTCACACCCAGAAGACTCATTCGGGGGAGGTGGGGGTGGGGGTGGAAAGTGCCATTTCACAATGCATTCTCCAGTTGTTCCAGGTTGGGCTGTTATGATATTTATAATATGTTACTTTGCAGATTCCGTCTGGAAGAGCATGGCGCGCATAAAGCGATCTGGCTTTTCACATTGTGGTCAGAGGTGATTCAGTTATTCTGTGTGGATCATATTATTTCTCTGGAGTGTTTAAGCTTTTTATGCTTTGGTGATGATTGGACATTCCTGACAGTTTGGGATTTGATGATGGATACAGATTTGTCCACAGAAGTAAGATAAGCTGCAGAAAATAACTGCCTGGATGCTGCAGGAAGGATTGCTCAGACAGAGGATCCAGAGGCACGGATACTAACAAGAATACTGTTGAGTTAGGTTTGCCTTCACAGCTTCCCATACCTGCTATTAACTGTCTCTTTCTGGTTAAAAAGGCAAGTTTTATTGAGGGAAGGTAGCTAGGAAGAGGTAAGGAAGGGGAGAGAACATTCTTAAAATGTAAATAAACCAAAACTTCTTTGGTAAGCCTATTAGTAAATGTGATTTAATCTGCAGGGGATATCGCTAGGTATCATAAAGCACTTGCCCATCATGGGTAAAGTTCTGGTTCAATACCCAGCAATCCCCCCCAAAAAAGTGGTAGAGAATTTATTTCATACAAAATAAAACAAAAAGACCAAACAGCTGTCACATTTTAAAGTGTGCATAAACAGTCCACAAGCTAATTATGCCCCTTTCCTCTCAACTCCAAAAATATTTGTTTCCTTAATAATAATAATTAGCAATTGTAGAAGCCACAAAAATCTATAATTTTAAGGCATTGGGATGTCACTTTGTAATAATTGGGTACAGCTGAATAATTAAGAAACCTGCAACTTTTATTTACACTCTTGACCCAGCAAGAATGAATGATGACACTAGTCCTCTGGCTAGTCTTCTACTGTGGCTTGGATTTTATGACCCACTCAGCATTTGGGTTCAGTTGGTACAAGTCCTTCATGTATGTGTCGTCATCGAGGCAGCGTTCCCCTGTGAAGGAGATGTGGTATTAGTTAACACAGTGGGTGAGTACGGGTGCAATCATAAAATCAATCCCAATGTTTAAAAATCTTTCTAAACCTTTGTCTTTTTTCCCTATTTCTCATGACAATATTTAAAGAATTGTCAAGGCATTGAAAACATCAATTAGGTAATCACTCTCTAATGCTAGTATCAAATTAAATTAAGAAGCAAAAATACTTTGTGGGGTGGACTTTAAATGCTTCATTAAAATCAACCTCGCCTGCATTAAACATAACAGTCGTCTTGAATTCAGCTAAGAAGCCACACTAATTTCCAAGATCTAATTGTGAAATGAAAAGTCAAATGTACAAAGACTGCGTGTGAATGATTATTTGGACAGAAGAAGCTCAAAAAGAGGTCCCAGGAAGAAAGTTCTGACCACAGCAACTGTCTAAGGCACGGCATGTTTACTTTCAAATACAGAAATATTTTTGTTCCAAACATATAAACTGGCAACGTTAAATCAGCATATAGAATGAAAATGTTCTTACCAATATTTCCTCCAATTTCATATAGAAAAACTTCTCCTTTCTTAAGTGTCTGGGCAACCCCACTGTCAGGGATAAGACAAACTGATTAGTTGTATCCCTCAAACAGCTTACAGGTAATCAGTTTAGCAGACTGGCAAAGTCTAGCTAGCATAGAAAATCCCTAAGTTAAACATACTGTAGTTACACACTTTTGTATTTTCCCATCTGTTAAATGTACCCTACAGGTAATTAAAGATGTCACATGTGGAACCAAAATAAATAGAATCAGATATCTGGCGGCAAAAGAATACATCAGTATCTAAATTTGTAAACACTAGAAAGTCAAGTTAATATAACACTGATAACACATGATTATTGATATGATTATCCGTTCTTCACAGGCCTAAGATAGTGAGTCAGTTTCCTCATTGCACTTAGTATTTGCTCACTCAGTATGTTACATTTATACATTTACATTCTTCAAAAAAAAAAAAAAGGATTTTCCACCTACCATAAAAAGTCACTGAAGGTTAAGGTATACAGATACAATTAGCCATGTTTTGACATTACATAGTATAGCCAGGAATGGGAACCTCTTACCACTCCATAACTCTGTATATTTTAGGTTTTCCAGGTTGGTTACAAAAGTAAACATTTCTAAAATGTTAATCATACATACACACACACATACACTATAATTAAGTGATTTTTCAAAGGTTTCTGTAAAAGAAATTACTTCAGAAACCTGCCGAAACTTTAAACCGAACTTTTATTTCCCAGAGGAAGCTGGAGAATTTGCTGTGAAAATCCTCTGTGGTGTGTAGATGAGGTGAACGGAGAGGATGCGGGCTGCTGGTAAAGGTCCAAAGGAGAGGGGCTAGTGGGATGGCTTAGCAGTTCTGGATTATTCTTCCAGAGGACTGGGGTTTGATCCCCAACAACCACAAGGTAACTCATGACCAGCAGTAACTCCAGTTCCAGGGGATCAACTACCCTTTGTACCTCCACAGACACACTGTGTACAGTCTCGCATGTAGGCAGTCTAGAGGAGATGCATCATGTAGGCGGGAAGAAAATTAGCAAGTCTGAGTCTACTCCCGCTACGAGGAATTCCAGGCATAACGGCAGCTTTTCTAAGCAGCCTGTCAATGATTCTCTGGTTATGTGATTCTCTCCCCACCGCTATGGCCACAGCATCACCATCTGCCCACGTGTGTGTACACACACGCTATTTCTGCCTGCTGCCTCATGTGCCATCCAATGGTTACATTCTGATTCCAACCAAGAGCTACTGTGGCTATAAAACCCCCAAAGAACGTTCTAAAAGACTTGATTTTTAAGAATCTAGTTCAATATTGCCCTCAGAGTGGTTCTCAAGTGTCTATATAGTTCTTTCATTTTGTAGAAAGCTGAACAAGTTTTATGACATAGAATAGCTTTCATATAAAGTCAACAAATCCCTAAGGACTGATGGAAAGGTACCCATATTTTACCAATAACTGATGAATGAATGGCCAATTTATTGTACTTTGTGCTCACATGTGTGTGTTCACTGGCTTTTGACGGAGTTGGAAAGTGAATGATGAAAGAGAGTTTCCTAACTGTCCCAAACAGGTGGGATATAAATGGGGGGAAACACAGGAGAGGAAAACTACAGTACAAACATTTACTGAGCACTGCTGTCACTCTGTGGCCCAGATAGATATCAAGAGGACTTATTTATTGACCATTTCCCTAATCAACTCTCACAAGTCTATAAGGAAGTGCTATTCTGTCTTGCTCTTCCTAATGGAGAATGGAGACTTTAACCTAGGACACGGGACATGTTCGGCAGGAGCTTTCCAAAGCTGATGACCCAGAACCCGCATGGTAGAAGGAAAAAACTGGTTCAAGCACTTTGGCATGTGTACCATAAGCATATAAAGGTACACAAAGATGTTGTCATTGAAAATACCAGCCTAAGTTTTAGACAGAATAGCATGCATTTGAATATACTAACTAATGCTTCATGTTATACCCAAAAGTGTTAAAGTCCCAGCTGAACAGAGTGTACAACTTCATAAGGATTTATGCTCTGAAAGTAGGGAAGATGAGCAGAACTGAGTTCTTGGAGCTTGTGGGATGCTCCTGACTCAAGTATCCAAATCTCCAGACACATTCTGGGAGGAAATGGAACATACAGCTGGGGGGAGGGGTCAAAGGTGACATCTACAAGTCAAAGATGGGGAGGATCAAGAAAGAGGGTTGACTTCATTATAGCTGAGACACTCCAGGGAGAAAGGATCAATCTGAGAAATTCCTTATGCTTCCAGTCCCCAGTTCTGAGAGATTCAACTCAGGGCTTAATGGTCAGACGTGATTCTCAGGAGCTGGTGTGAACACAAATATAGGTGCATATTTCCAGCTGTGTGGCCTGGGATAAAAATGTTCCCTGATCAAGTTCCTGTCAGTGAAGTATAAGGAATGATTGTATTTGAAGCACAGTGACACTACAAGGAAGTTTAAGCTGGTTTGCAAGGGGCTGAGTTGTTACCCAAAAGTCTCTTTCCCTCTTCACCACCATCTTTGCAGATCCATCCTTTCTACCAGCTTATGGGATTGGGGAGAGGTGGTTATTTGAAGGTTTCTACTTCTCTAACACCAAGCTCAGAGTCTTAATGGGAGTACAAACATTAGCATAAGGTACTGACATGCAGAGAGAGACAATCTGATGGAAGCCCCCATCGTTAGAATGAGACTAACTTCAAGGAAAGCCTAGAATGGGATGCTTGCAAACAGATGCTAGATGTCTTTCCCAGATTCTACACTGAGACTGGTGGGATGGCTCAGTGGGTAAAGGAGGCTGTTGTACATCCCTGGTGACCTGTGTTCCATGCTTGGAATCCATATCAGGATGGAAAGAGAATGGACTCCACAAATTTATACACAGGTGTGTGTGTGTGTGTGTGTGTGCATGTGCGTGTATGTGCATGTGCATGTATGTGCATGCATGCAAACATACTAATAACATTTAAAAACAAGAATTTTAATTTCATAGCATAAATAGGGGGAATGCCATTAAAACGGACTCTAGCCAAAAATGAGATATTTAAAGGGGAAAAGCTAAAATCCCTGTAAGCTTATCAGGACCTCTCAAATTCTAGACAGGATGAATGGGAGGATAGACTATAGTGAGTACAGTGAGGGAAAGCACAGCTTTCTAAGTATCGATAGCATCAGCCTCAGGACAAGGAAGGACGTGGATGTCCCTAATGAGGACAGCTTGTTCTCTTCTGGTGACTTCAGACCTCAGGGACTGGGTGTCCTCTCTCAATCATCTAAGCTTTCAGTTTTTAAATTGGAACATTCCTTTCTTATTCATTAAGTTTCATAGAGAAAGTTACATCTTCATTTTAATCTTGCTGAATCCTAATTAGCAATCTTCATAACAGCCTACAAACAGTAATTAACCTCCAACCAACGTGTTCTAGAAAGACCATGGAGTAGTTTTATTTGCCAAGCTCATTGCAGGCAAATGGTGGAGGGCTGCTCACACGTGCCGCCTGAAACAGGCTCGGCCTGAACACAATCTCCCTCTGACAATTCCTACTGTTCACTCCAGTGGTCTAATTGTCAAGTCAGCTTTGTTCTTCTGATGGGAAGACACACATGTGCGCATGCGCGCACACGCACACACACACACACACACACACACACACATACACACACGAGAGAAAGATACAGAGAGAGGGACACACACACACACACACACACACGAGAGAAAGATACAGAGAGGGACACACACACACACACACACACAAGAGAGACAAGAGAGAGAGAGATACAGAGAGAGAGAGAGAGAGAGATACAGAGAGAGAGAGAGAGAGAGAGAGAGAGAGAGAGAGAGAGAGAGAGAGAGAGAGAGGATAAATATAAACATGAGTTATCCCACAGAATAATTAACACAGGCCTTTACCTTTCTTGGCTGAGAAACCTGGCAAGTACATCGCTGGCTTTTAGTTCTTCAGTTAGCTGTATTGCCATGGAAACTTTTGAAAGATGGGGAGCTTGCACTCGAATCACTCCCTGAGGAACGTCAGCCTGCAAAGCAATAATGACACTGGAACAAAGCTGACAGCAGCTGGAACGTGTAACTCTGTACAAGGCATTGTATGGTAAGTGTGCTTAACTACTACTCATTTTACCCCACTGCATAAAACCTTAACTACTGTATAATGTAATTTGCTAAATTACATCAAACCTCAAATATCCTTTTAATGGTGATAGGGGAACTTTATAATGCCTGTGCAGTAATGCTTAATTATTTTTAAAGATGTAAAGAATGACAGCAATAACCATTACTGCCATATTAAGTGCTGATTTCTGAGTGTTATCTACTGGAGAGTGCTTCCTCATGTAGCAATTTATGAAATTGAATCAGAAAGAAGTCACTCGGTGCTGTGGCTATGTGTGCTTTTATAAAACCTTCCCACCCAGTATCAAAATTTCCTCCATCTTTAATGTCCCTGGGTGTGAAAAAGAAATGGCCTGTTCGTGATGTATTTGTACTACATTAGCTTCCCACTTGCTTAAGATGACTGAGTCTTAGTCCTCCACCCATGGATCTGCAGGATATTTTAAAGATTTAGAGATATCAGGGACACATTTTGAGGTTTGTAATATCAAAACATCTACAGCTACAGCATTCAAAGTAATAGGCTTAATTAATTCATAAATGGTTTTGCTAAAATAAATATTAATTTATTATTTATAACCATATGTCTTAAACAGACTTTAGAACAGCATGCTCAAATTATGTTTAACTATAACTCCTTAAATATTACAAATTCCCCCACTTAATTCAACCAAAATTGTGGTAAGTATCTGCTGAGTACTCTGTTAGTTCTGCTAATCTAGTAGAATAAAAAGATACCCATCCTTCATTGTCAGTGTCTATGCCTATTAAATAGATACAATCTTGAATTTCCCTTGGTTTTAGCCATAAAGCATGACTATAATACAGATGCCATTGATGTCTTTGGGAAGTAAACAAAACAGTATTTTTCTAGAATCAGGCCAGAATTAAAAACAACAACAACAAAAAAAGACCCCAAACAATTTAAAATGGGTTCTCAGTAACAGGAGAGATTTCATATTGGGATGACAGAGAAAGAAATAGGACTGCTGAGGAGTGCCCAGCAGGCATGGGCACCAGCCACCAAGTCCAAGCCACAGACAGACTGCCAAATCTACTCCATCTTGGACTTGTTGGTTTTCACTTCTCCTTCTGGGGTACTTAGTCTGGCCTGATTTCCTCAGTATACTATGACCTTGACACGACCCTTACCCCTATGTGTCTAGCCCAATTTACCCTTTTCTTTTAACTAGGAAATAAACTACTTTCATCTGTAACATACTGGAAAAAGTAGCTACTTTAAACAGTGGATAGGACATTTCCTGTGATTTTGTATATGTGTGTGTATGTATCTGTTGTGTGAGTGTGATTGTATGTATGTGTGATATTGTGTGACTGTGTGTGTTGTATGATTATGTATGTGCAAGTGTGATATTGTGTGACTGTAATTTTATGTGTGTGTGATACTGTGTGACTGTGTGATTGTATATGTGTATCATATTGTGTGACTGTGTGTGTAAGTGATTATGTGTGTGCAAGTGTGATATTGTGTGACTGTAATTTTATGTGTGTGATACTGTGTGGCTGTGTGTGTTGTATGATTATGTACGTGCAAGTGTGATATTCTGTGGTTATGTGACTGTGTGAGTGTGACTGTGTGTGTGTGTGTGTTCCTTTCTGAGAAACTATCAATGGTGAAACATAACTCAGAGACTGCAGGGCCTTCTCCCTTGGGCTCGCTCTCCAGCTTATTTTCTACTGTGTCCATTCCAATGACAGCTTGGTCTCAGCAATCTATTTCCTCCACGTGGAAAACAATAAGTTGCTACTGCAAACTTGAATGTTGGGAGTGAAAACTGTAGCCGTGATATTGGATAAAGTGAGGCTGTATTCATCACACCCTGTTTACCTTGTCCACACAGTGAACGCAGCAAACAATGGCACTATGAATTAACATAATCTATCCTCACTATAACTCTGTACAAGGCCCTCAGTGGAAGGCCAGAGTTTGCATATAACCACGTACTTATGATGATATTAACATTAGGAAATCCAGGCTAATTCACAGTAGCTACTATATTTAAATTTGCGTAATGACAGTAATAGCAATAAAAATTGTTTCCATAGTCACCTCTTACCCAGCCCTAGGGAATGAATATGTATATGCTTGCTAAATTAACAGTCAAACACTTGAGGTAAGTAAGATAAAATTATACATACAGAAGATCTACAATGAACACTTTACAAATAAAAATGGACCAGAAAAATAATATTGTGTCATGGAGATTTCAACAGTATGGCAACATCAGCAGCTACTTGCATTTCCTTCCATTATTCCTTGTAGGTTATTCTCTTTTTGGAAAAAAAAAAACCTTTCCTCTATAGTAGGTCATTATCCAAGGACTGTACCAAGGCTCATTTCAAACATCTCAAACTCCATGGAACCTAGTCTACCATGGCTTGCAGATCAAAGGACATGAAATCACTCAACAATATTTTCATTAAAAACAATGGAATGATGACAATAATATTTCTCTGTAACAAGACATACCAGTTTACATTTTCTTACCGGTTAAAAAATATTCTAATGCACTTTATCTAAGATTAGTACATCGAAGCTGGGCAAGGGTGGCATACATCTTTAATGCTAGCACTGGGGAGGCAGAGGCAAGTGAATCTCTGTGAGTTCGAGGCCAGCCTGGTCTACAAGAGCTAGTTCCAGGATTTCTAGGGATACAGAGAAACCCTGTCTTGAAATACCAAGAAAAAAAGAAAGATTAATCCACTGAATTGCCTCTGTCACTTGTATTGCTCCCCACACTCTGCAAAGACAAGGGACAGAATTGTACAAAAGGAATTTAACAACGCTACAAAAGATAATTCAGTTAGTTTATCTTGTAGGAAGACAACAAAAGTCCAAGGTTCCAGAATTAGCATGTGCTTGCTTCAAGAGTAACCTCTCTCTTGCCAAGACATCCCTAGAAGGACAAGACCTGTGCTAACATGATCCATGCCCCATCCCTTCTACGTGAGTTCAGGGAGTGTGGACTTGGAAATGGCAACAGGTTTTCTCAAGAAACACAGCACCGAGATTTAGTGTGGTATCAGAAATTCTAGAACACTGCCTCTCACATACTCACAGGATTTTGGAAGGAATAGTCTCAGGAACTCGCTTCCATGTATCCCAGAATTCTTAAATGTACACAAATGTCAAGAAATTGTCACGTTATGCATATATGGCACCAGAGTTGATTTTTGCCAAATTGGGTTGCCATATGGGAAATCAACCACAGGCTCCTTATGGCTGTGGATAAAACCATCCCTACATTTCTAGCCCTCCACTAAAGGGGATGAAGTTAGGCCGACTTGAGTTCAGTGTTAACTCTTCCCAAACGAGACTCTATAAAAATGTTGACTCATCATAGCAAGTGGACAGATACATCACTGCCTCTTCAAGGTTTTCCTTCAGCCACTAGTAGCACATGCTGCTTCCTCAGGTTGACTCTTGACGTTCCTGTTTCTGGCGACTGGAGAACTTACCATAAAAGAGTGTGTGGGTATTGTTTATATCTATGATGGAAGCAATATACACTGATTGAATGCACCTCATCTAAATGCTCCCCCAGCGTGCCTTGATATGACTCTGCTAAGCTCCTTAAACTTTTGCAGAAGTGTGTCCAGTAGATGGTAAAGATGAAAATATCATCAGATGTTTTTGAAAGTTTTCACTGAGTATATTCGCAAGGGTGGGCGAATGATATTTACACAGAGATGATAAATAACAAATAATACCAAAGATCTCATTTAAATGGTGTATGACAGCTTCAATTAAGCTCCAAACTTACACTGTATCCAATACGAGTGCTATTAGTATACTAATTACATTGAGCTGCCAAGCTTTGAAAAGACACCATGCCTGATCAGCAAGCCAAACAATATGTTCTTATTTATGCCATAATAGTAGCTGAAGCTATATACAGAATAATCTTTGTGACCTTCACATTTCATGGCTGTGATAGATATTCTTGGCTGACAACATGGCTGCATCTGGAATTAACTAGAACTCAATGTGGCTGGGTACAGCTGGGAGTGATTTTTTTTCTTAATTAAATCATTTGAAGTGGGAAGACTCACTTTTAATCCAGATATTTTGAGGTGGGAAGATCTACCTTTGATCTGGGTCATACCTTCTGTTGGCAGCTTATATAAATGATATGGGAAAAGGTTGCTTGTTTTTGTTTGTTTTTTGTTTTGTTTTGTTTGCCTACTTGCTGTTTCTATCGCTGGCAAGCCCATTATTGCACTGGCATTTGAGCCTACTTCTTTAGGATTCAGGCATATACTTAAGAAGCCAAGACATCCAGCCTCATAAACTGGACAACTACTAGATTCATGGACCTTCTGTTAATAGACAGCCATTGTTGGACTAACTGAACCACAGCCTGTAAGACAGTCTAATAAATTTCATCAATAGATGATAGATATATAGATACATAGACAGATTCATTCTATAAGTTCTATTCCTCTAGAGAACCCTGACTAATACAGCTTTTGGTACTAGAAATGTTTCTGGAACACTAGAAGTAAAAGGATGAATTGTTTAAGTATCTGGAATAGACTTTCCAATTTGCCAACACCTAGTTAGTTACTGAAGCCTCTCCTGGAAGCTTGGAGAATACTGAAAGCCCATGGTGAGAACTACTTTACAAACTCAAGGAGGCAAATGCATGTGATTATCCTGATTCTCCACTTGCGAGGTGCAATGATTTGGTGACTCTGAATACAGAACTTTTGAGAGTCTGTAGGAAAACAAGGAGACTGGGGATACTGCTTGGTTGCTACAAGCATCTCTGGATGAACTGACAAAGGAAAAGAGTGAACTCTGTGATCCAATTAACCAACTTCCAGCATCTCAGAACACAGGGAAGGACAGCAATAGACTCGGCAGTAAAACTGACCAGATCCA